TTCTGATTTGCTGTTAGGACCTGAAAATGCTGGTTTCCATTACATTTTCAAGTGTTATTTAGATCAGATTGGTTTTAATGAAAATATAAAATGACTGCATGAATTTTCAGATAAATTGATGGCTGTTTGAATTAGAAGCAGCTGTTTTTAGGTCCTACCATTAAGTAAAGTTGTGTTTTGTTTTGCATTTAAAACTGAAATGATTCAACTTTTTGCTACATTTATTGTTGGATTAGATTTGTTGGATTAGATTCAGTTTAGACAAGCACTGTTGGTCGCTTGTTGCTTTTGGGACAATCTCGTTGGGGGTAGTCAGAGTGAAACAAAGGCAATAATAGAAGACACTCCATAATGTGCTAACTGAATGCTAATAGATCTTTTTAATAGTTATTTTTATAACTCTCCTGTGCAATAAAAGGGATTGCCCCTGTATGGATACTATCTGAAAGCTGGGAAACAGATGGTATGAGTCAACAGGCAGGTTTCACATTTAAGGAAAATTGCACGTAAGCTACGGTTTTTGACGAGGCTTTAGCAGTTTCTATTTAAGCGATGGAGAAAGGAATGAAACCACAGAGTTTGCTGACAGCACTGAGTTAATCAGAGTAATAAGAGTTGACAGCAAGGAGTTGCGGGACTTCGTGTTCTTAAAGCCAGGCAGTAAATAGTAGGTGAAATTCCATGTGGACAAATATAAAGTGATATTGTGCGTGTGTCTGGAAAAATCCTTTATCTGTACAACTGAAGGCTCCCAGATAGTTTTCTATGCTCCAACACAAGAGGAAAACAACAGCTTGGAAGCAGATAAGAAAGAATAAAAATAAAAGCTAGAAATTATCAGGAAAGGAGAACATTATTCAGCTGCATGTTTATGTTCTGTCTGCTTCTTACTTGCTGTGTACAGTTTGGTCCCTGTTTCAGAAACAGAAAATTGCAAGAAGGTTTGCTTAAGAGTACCTGACTAAAGGTAGTAAAACCTGTACATGAGAATTGTGGGATGGAAGAAAAAAACACTCTAATGTGCAGAAAAGGCAGGGAAGATGCTGGAGTTACAAAGGGAGAGATTAGCGAAATGAAGATAGTGAATAGGAAGGAGTTGTTCATATTCTAATTGTGATAACTGAACAGCTTTGAATAGAATTAGCAGGTGTCTGTTTAAACACAGACACTGTATAGCACATATTTGGAATTCTTTGCTGCAAAACAAAGCTCAAAGTTGCAAAAATCTTTGGACAAATAAGTTATGATAAATGTAGATGGATCTCTTAACAGTGTTCTAGTGCTGTATTGCTTCTTGGACTGGAGTTCTGAGTCTCAGGTTTGGGTTAGATTGATTCTGTACCTAGGAAGCTGGAGCTGCCAAGTGATGGATCCCACCTTCTATGATAATCCAACTTTTTCTGTTTTTCTCACTTAAATTTAAGGGACATACTGGGTATTCGGGGTAAAATGACTTTAGCCTCTTACATCTGAACTGTCTGCTCTTCCTTAAGTAGTAAGAACTATGAGATACAATGTTATATTTATTCATTTGTAATCATAAAATGCTTTGAAGTTCTTAATTCTGAACCATTATGTGAGTGTTAAGTGTGGTATTTTATTACCTAACACAGACACAGTTTGTAGCTTTAATCATTCCAAGTACTTCAGAAATAATCATGTATTATGTTTACTGTCAGCAAATGCACCTACCCTCCCTAAACACTGAACATCCAGCGTATGGGAGGCAGGTTAGACTAATCATTGACTAGACAATAATCAGTCCTGTCATGCAGCAAAATTTGCATTGTGACAGAGATTGTCTAAATGAGGAAGTTAGGGGAGTGCAGTATAAAGAATGCCTTTCATTTCAGCTGCAGAGGAGATCCAGCATTTGCAGAGCAATGAGATATTTGTGATGTTAACAACCAAAATGATTTTTATTGATAATGACAGATGGTGCTTAGATAATGTGCCCTGAATCGTCTGCAATATGTTCAAAATAAGTCTTCTGGAAGGTTGTACATCTGTCTTGAGATCTTTTACTAAAATATTTAAATCAAGGTCATTGTTTACATTTGATTTTAAATAGCTTTTAGCTTGTATTCTGTATTTCTGTACATTTAGAGATCAAACTGTTCATAACTTCAAAAGCTGCAAATAGAGAAGTATAATAGGTAGCAGGTGTTAGAAAAGGCAATTATGCATTAGCTGTTTTACTCAATTTCCAAAACTGTCTAAAACTATCCATTGGAAATACTTTGTAGCCTAGGCTTATCTCTGAAGCATGATGAGTTTTTAAACCTATAGGGACATATGCATTTTTTCTCTAATAAATTGCATGTTTAAACCTATTTGCTTTCATTTAAAAGAGCTGAAGAAAATTGTATTGGGGGAAAAAAAGGCTGAAGAGAAAAATTTCGTCTAAAATATTTTTCTGCAGATATTTTTCTGCAGTTTTTCAAAAACATTATTACACTTTTGAGCATTTTTGTTGTTAATTTTTAAGTCACTTATCTTGACTTTGTGGTTATGGAAGAATTCTTGTTTTGTGATAACAGACTAAATTCTTGGGCCTAAAATCAGAATCTTAGGTTATTATGAGAAAAAAAAATAATGCTATGATGATTTAATTTGACCTCTAGCAATTGTTATGTGAGTTAGTGTAACAGCAAAATTAACAATTTCCATAACAGCTCCTGTAAACTAACTTTGAAAGTAGCATTTTAATTTCCATTTAGGTTTCTTTAATCCTCTTTCCTTCTTCCCTACACATTTCAAGAACTCATATAAGAAGAGTGTGGAGAAGAATGCTTAAGTAATGTATATGCTAATACCGGTGCAAATTCCTTTCTTTTCCCTCTTTCTTGCTCATATCATGCCATCATCAAAGAAATGCGAATCTTTATTTCCTTCTGCTATGATAGCAAATAACCTAAAACATAAACTATACTCGTTAATAATTATTAGCTTAAATGAAATTTTCCTGTCTGCAGACTGCTCAGTCTCCTGCTTCATCTTCAAAAATGGTCTTCCTCTGTTCTATATTTCCACTGTTTCTGTACTTCCCTGTATCTTTTCAGGAGTCTCAATCCACCTCTATTGGCCTCCATTCTTTAGCTCTCATTTTCCTCCTTCCCCTTTGGTTGCAAATGATAAGGCTGGTCCATTCTCTTGAGATGATAGTTCTTCGAAGGAGATCTAAAAGCAGGACATCCTTCACCAAGCAGTGCCACCTTTTTCTCTCTTCTTTGTTCCTGCTCTCGTTCCTGATGTGCCTGAATGTCTTTACCAACAATAGAATACCCTTAGAGCAGAAAGTGCTGTTCATGTGTGGATGTGATGACGTTTTCTTGCACAGGCTGTTAAGACTTGGTCTTAAGAGCTCTCTCTTTTCACTGGACTCCAGTACCCTGCTTGCTTTCCAAATTAGGGAAAGATTGTCACTTCTGAGACAATTCCGTGTATTCCAGAGAAACCCAGGAGCTTCTCATGTGCGGATAAATGCTATTACTTTAAAGGACTTTTTCAAAATTCATGTTACAAGTGGGAAATTGCTTGTAATATAGTGCTGAGAAAATGTAGAACATAGTTATTGTTTCTAGACTTGATTTTAAACGTTTTAAAATACTTTTTCATCCTTTCAAAGAAAATTTTGTAAAAAAATTGTTGTTTATGCTTTGGTTATAAAAGATTGTTGTTAAAGACTGAATTTAAAAAAATATGCAGCATGTTCTCTGAATTTACAGAATAAAGTAGGAAGAGGGTTGTTTTCTTTGAATTGGCTTTCTGCGTTTTTAGAGTTGTCTTTAATAATTTAAATATTGCCACAGTAGTATCTGATATGATAAGTGATAGCACCTCTTCTCTTGCAAGTACGTTATTTTGAGATACATTACACTTTTACATATAGTAGATCTCCATCCCAATGGAAATGTTGGCACTAAAGTAAAAGATGTGGATTTTTCAGGAGGATCGTTGTAAGTACATGATTCTGTAAAATGATAGCTTCAATATTGTAAATTGGACATCTCTTTGATAAAGACAAACTCTGGAGAGTTCTAGTCAAAATTACCATATGCTTTGTCTGCACTGGGATTTTACATTGTGCTAACTTACTGTGTTATTCAAGTATAATTTTCCTAGAATAGGAGAAGTTATCAAAGGATATTATAATCAAAATCTTCCTTTTCTGGTTCCAACAATTACTGACTGCAGTTTAACATTTAAAACTTCCCTAAAAATAATTGGCGTTATCTCTTTTCATGACTTAACAATTTGGTCAGCATGATCCATAGTTTCAGTAGCTGCTCACATGGTGTTTGTACCAACCCCTGCAGTGCACTAGAGTGACGGCACTTCTGTCAGCCAAGGGTAGACAAGGAGAAGAAGAAGAAGGGTGTTTTTCCTTCTCCTCCAGTGGCTGCAGTAAGGTTACTTTATCACACTGTTACAAATGCTACGTAGAATATTTTAAATACGGTATGTTTCTCAGTTTAATAGAAATTAAATATATATATTGTTACATCAAGTTTTATATAATAGGTTGTTTCTTCTAATTCAAGTTGTTGACTTCTATTTCAATCAAATATAGACCAAAATTTAGTTTTAATAACTATAAGCCATAGTTTTAAAGTGCTTTTGTAGTTCACTATAGTAGAATTTATAATAAAAAGCGATCAATTTCAAATGGAGCTCCAGTAATCTTAGCAATGGAGATGAAGGATACGTTCATGACGCAGCGTAGATAATAAAGTACTGGATAACATCAGAAATGGGAGAATAGCACCTATAAAGAATGACTTTAAGTATGGGAAGTAAATTCATACTTCACCTTAGTTCTGGTTACAGTTATGAATAAGTTTGTCACAGGTAAAATGCAAACGTATTTGTGATAGCAATACAAAGCAATGTAAGTGATACGTGTACCTAGTAGTGAATGTCATAAAAAGCAGTTGGAGGGTATCTTAATTAGAAGTATGCATTGTAATGATGTTTTTTCTTTATTTTATTTCTTCTAGTCTGAACCAGAGGGTTTTTCTCACTTCCACTTGTATGTCTGTGCTGCCTTCCTTGTCAGATGGAGGAAGGAGATTCTGGAGGAGAAGGACTTTCAGGTAAGTAAAGAATTGAGTAATATAAAAATCTGTGAATATTTTTCAATCACAGGGAGGAATTTATTTAAATTTAGATTCCAGGCATTATGTGGGGATGAATTGATAACAAAACAGAAACACTTGCAACAGGAATGAAGATGTATAACTGTTTGTTATGGTTCCTCCAAAACTGTTAGACCTGAAGTAACTACAAGCAGTAGCAAATGTGTGGTCAGAAAAAAAAGGAAAAAAAAAAAAAAAAAAAAAAAGTACTGTATAATATTGAGGCAGATGTTAAGAAAATGATTTCTGGAGATAAGTAAATCTTAGGAATCTCATAAAAAAAAATCTGAAAAGGTAATGGGATTTTTTTAAAGAGCTTAAATACGTTACTGGAGTTACTTATTTATGAATTCCCATCTCTATAATATAGCAGCAAACTCTAACAAGATTATTTTTCTTCTTTCAAAAAAGCAAGGCAAGCAACCTTCAAAAATAATAAGCCTATATTTCAGGGCCAAATAAAAGGGTTGTAAAAGTGATTGTTTTGGGTCTTACATTTCAAAACCTTCTATTTGTTTAGCATAGAGCATATCTGTTAGTTGTTTGGAATGGGATTTCAATAGTGTAAATAGGCAAATAATTTCCATACCCACGTAGAAGTTCAGTTACATTTGTGAACTGGTGACAGTTCCATTTCAAAGCAATATTTTATATTTAATTTTTCTCTCTGATGCACATGCAGTTCCTAAAAGGCATTAAAGGCCTGTTTTCAGGCTGGCTGTAAACAAACCACACTGCAAAGCTGACACCATTTCCTGCCCCAGGGAAATGGCCTGTTACCAGCTTGTTTTCCCTTCAGCTGACTGAACTCTGTTGCCCTGTACAAATGAGCCATTGTATGAGTCTGTGTTTCATTGCCATCTATTTTATCGTCCTTTATAAAACAGTTTATTCAGTGCACTTTAACTGTTGTTGTCTATCTTTGCAATAAATAAACCCATATGGGCACGATGTAACCACTTTTATGCTACCTGATAGTACTGGTACTTTATCAAAAATAATTTCAGGGTTGGTAGTCACACCTCTCAAATATAATTGTTCACTGCTAATCCTATTAATTTAATTTCCACTGATATCCTGCATCAAAGTTTTTAACATTTTTGCCTCTCTATCAAATACATTGCAACCATGTTTACAGCACTAATGATCTCAAGGTGAAGTGCTGTGATGATTTTTTTTCTCCTTACATGTGCTCAGATTAGTTCATTAATGTAATACATAAAATATGCCTTTATGATTTAATTTCTTATAAGCTATGTAAGATACATAAATCAGTAACACGATAAATCAGGAACACATTTATCATACTGCTTTAGGTCACTTACCACATAGATAAGCAATTAGTAACTGAGGTTCTGTATGCTATTGCTAGTGTCATCACTGTAAGGCTTCACCATTATTGTACAACATCAGCTTTTAAAATGATTAAACTAAAATGTTATAAATTCTGCAAACGATGCTTCTCCCCCACAGGGGAAAAAAAAAGGCACTACTCTTCCACTTTGTTACCAATAGCTGTATTGTAGACCATTACTTATTCTATGACTGCTGTTCCAAAAGTAATGTCTCCTATTTTATTATGTTGATCCTTGACCTCAAGGGCAGATGTTGTTGGTAAGGCAGTAGGGGTTGAGCCTTCCCCCAGTATCCTGTTACATTTTGTTTCCATGGGAGAAATAGCAGCAGAGGGGGCCATCTGACAAAATGGCATCTGACATGGAAGTATGTATGAGGCAAAGGTGTGTCACTGAATTCCTCCATGCAGAAAAAATGACACCCACTGATATTCATTGATACTTACTGAAGACTCTTTGGAGATCAAACAGTGGATGCGAGCACAGTGAGATGGTGGATAGTGCTTTTCAAGAGTAGTGCCAGTGGATCATAGAATCACCAAGGTTGGAAAAGACCTCCAAGACCATCCAGTCCAATAGTCCACCTATTACCAATATTTCCCCATTAAACCAATATCCTGAACACCTCCAGGGATGATGACTCAACCATCTCTCTGGGCAGCCTGTGCCAGCACCTGATCACTTTTTCAGAGAAGAAGTTCTTCCCAACATCCAGTGTGAATTTCCTCAGATGCAGCTTGAGGCCATTCCTCTAGTTGTGTTGCTACTTACGTGGGAAAAGGGGCCGACCCACTGGAGAGTCACCTGCGCTGGTGCAGACTTTTATGAGCGCAGCATGCAGGCTGTTGTTCATCGCTGGTGAAAATGCATAGATAATGGTGTTGATCGTGTTGAGAAATAGTTTTGTAGCTGAGACTTCTTTACAGTGAGGTGACGGAGCACTGGAACAGGCTGCCCAGGGAGGTGGTGGAGTCTCCTTCTCTGGAAATGTTCAAGACCTGCCTGGATGCCTACCTGTGCGACCTGCTGTAGGGAACCTGCTTTGGCAGGGGGGTTGGACTCAATGATCTCTGGAGGTCCCTTCCAACCCCTACAATTCTGTGATTCTGTGATTCTTTGCTCTTAAGGTGCTTGCTTCTATTATCTTGATTCTGTATTTCTGCAACCTAATCAGTTAATAAAAGCGTGACATTTATTCTTCCTCATATAAAGCAATTAATTTTTACATATCAAATGTTCACCTGTTCACCTAACAGGCCCTTATCACATCTTTTTTGTGCATGGCTTTCGTTTTTATTTGATATTTATTTCTGTTGTTACTGTCGAGCAGTTGTGTCATGGCTAGGGTAATATTATGAATTGTTAAAACTTGAAAACTACTACTTGGTACTTGATTTACATCTGTAGAAGGAATCGCTGTAGTATTGTCTTCAAATTTGACTTATTGTTACTCATTTTCCTAAGTACAGCTGTAATTCCAGAATTTTCCTGAATTTGTGGGAGAAATATGAGTAGCTGATAATGTTAAGTGATAAAACATTCAAGCATGATTTTGAGCATATTTAGAATTAAAATATTAATGGAAAATATAGCTGTTGAATTTAATAGTGTCAGGGACAGAATATTTGAAAGATTTGTAAGGAAACAGGACGCTATGGACCAGATTTATCTGTCATGCTGAATATAAGTTAATAGTAATGTTGGACTGATACTGATTTAAATGTTGGATATTAGAGATTTAGTTCAAATTTTCAGTATAAGTAAGTTATAATTTTGTTGACACAGTTGAGCTATAAAAATATATTCAGTATGTTGCAGTAAGAAATCTGTCTTGCAGATGTTTTTTTTCATCATTCTAAGATACAGGCTTTTCTATCCAGCAGACATTTACTCCTATGCTGTCATTAACCCACATCTTTATTACTACGATGTCCTTTTCTTTGGCTTTGACAAATGCATTTTTGCTTCATTTATATTCATGCAGTCTGCGAAGAAGCTGTGAAGATCATTTTTCAGTCCGTCATTTTTTCTCACTGTTCACCTTCTGTAACTTCCTTTCCTATGTGGCACCAAGGAAAAACGGGTGGTTTCTATTTCAAGGCCATTAATGGACTAATATCAACACCTTAGCTGTCATCTCATATTCTGTACTGAGATTTTGAATGCCAGTTTATCAGCCGGCGATGACAGCCTCATCACGTGTTCCTGAGTTATTGAGAAAGTATCTGTGCTGTGTTCTTTGTTGACCATCTTATTTAAATGGAGCACGTAATGCAGATCTTGCTACTTCTCTCTGAGTCCTTGTATTTTTCTGTGATGCACGGAATAGATTTGGCAGATAGACTATGATGCTGTTAGTCACATTCACATTGATGGTTTTTTGTTGGTTCTTTTTACCTTTCTGTGAACTTGCTGTCTATTGAAACTTACTTAAGCAATGAAATCTTTGGATTAGTGACTGTCCTTTCTTCTGATTTATATAATCTTTAAAATAATGATTCTTTAATCTGAGTAAATGCTATGGAGTAGCTTCACTGACCTCACGAACAAAATGAATGTATACGCAGTAGTCTTTTCCAGTGAAATGCTGAAAAGTGCTCTTGACTTTTAAAAATGTTTCATTAAAGTGAAATATTACAAGTTAATGTTAGTTCAAATGATGAAAGATGAAACACCGTCTTTCTACCTCATATTATGAATAACATTTTAAGGAAATGTAGGTTATTATTGTTACTTAGGCAAAAGCAGGTGCCTTCCGAAGTTGTGATCAGGTTTATTCTTAAACTGAGTCTTCATTTTTGGCATATGTTTGTTTTAAGGTGGTTGCCAATTTCAGAGGCTGCTGAAGCGTTTCACAATGCCTGTGTTTGCATGAACATCATTTAGAGTGTGTTTAGGTTACTGATGCAGTGAGCACCCTCAGCCCCTTTAGTTGGTTCTGTTTTGCCTTTACTTCTCTGTTTAGCAAGCACTGAACTAGAATCAGCACAGCCCACTGCTACTTACCACTCTTCTGAAATCTCAGCTCACCTTTGAATGCGTTGACCCCTTCTTTCATTGGCTGCCCAGATAAACTGTGGGTGCCCCATCCCATAACATGATTAATACCAGATTGGATGAGGTTTTTGGCAACGTGGTCATGGGGAAGATATCCCTCCTTATGGCAGTGAGTTGGGATGAGGTGATCATTCAGGTTCCTTCTGTCCCTATTTCTGTATTTAAGTAGATGCTTTTATGTAAGCTAAAATTGCTTGAAAAAGTTAAAAAAAAAAATTCTACTTCTACCAAAATTCTACTTCTGTATACTTGTCAGAGACGTGTATTTACGTCAGGTACACAAGTTAAATAGTGTAACTTTGCACCTTAAAATGGGATTATAAGTTAGTTACAGAGGTGACGGAATAAAAAGATGCCGGTAAGACAAATTGCAGTCTTTGAACAATATCTGCCTAGTGTTAAGATGCTTTCCTTCACATGTTCTCTTATGTTAAATGACCGGGTAGTATTACTTCGTGGTCCTTTATGAAAGATAATTTGTGCAATTTTATACTGCTGCTTGCATGAGTTACTGATTTTAGCTTAAAAAATTTAATATGAAAATCCTTCCTGGTGATTATGTGCTATAGAAACATGTAAGATATCAGAAATATGATTTTATACCATATATTTATTCACAATTCCTGTGGTATGGTTTTCACAGGTTTTTTTTATGTTGCTCCTTTTTTTGATAAGGATTTTTAAACAGTTACTTTCTCTGCATTATCCTTTGTATAAGTGCAGGACTTCCTGCACTCTATGACATGAGCTATAACTAATAAAAAATACTTCCAATGTAGCTTCTTGTGTGTATGGTGCTAGAAATTCAGTTCCCATTTCTACTGCAGTAGAATGCGTCTCAATTAAAAAAAAAAAAAAGAAAAAAGATAATATTTCTTTTGAGCATCATAAAAAATGACCAATATATAATGGAAATTGAAGAAAAGATAGAAGGGAAGTGGAAAAGTGAAATTTGGTTGATAGCAAAGGTAGTTGATTGCAAATAGTCAGTGCTGCTGAAAACTTAATGTCTCCACAGTGACTATTCTGATTTTTATTTTTCAGTTAATCATGAGTTTATCAGCAGCTGGAGTGCACTTTGGACAACAGCAAATAAAGAACAGTATAACACACATTCTAGTAATGAAGCCCACAGATCCAACCTTTTGTTTGTGAGGAATAATAACTCTTTAGGTTTATACGTTCATCTGTATCTTGAGGAACCATTCATCAGCAGCTTTTCCTGTCTACTGTAAGTTCTTATATAAGTTAGGGCTTTTCCCTGTTTCTGATTCCCTGTATCAAAAAGCTCCTTAGCTATCTACCTAAGTCTACAGACTTTCTTTCAGAGGCTTTACAGTTTTGTCTTCACATCCTGGTTACAAGTTTTACTTAACAGCCACTTGTCAGAGGAAATCATTTTTATCATTTTTCACCATGATTAAAATGTGTATTTTTATATTTATTCCGTAAAAGTCCTTTTAGCATTTGTTCAGAAAAGTTCACAAATGTTAAGGGATACTTCTGTTCGGACAGGATCTCCGAAGGTGTTAAATTCAACAGGCTCAAAGCTGTGTCAGCTCTGAGTTTAGTCCATCTAGGACAGTGCTTTATTCAGCTGAGTCCTGAAAACCTTCAGGGACAGAAACTGCATGACCTAAATAGATTATAGGTTTTACATTATGTGTTATTCCTGAGAATTGCAAATATCTTAATGTTTCAGTCAAACTGAGTCAGACTGAGATGGACTGAAATACTAAGCTGAAATTCTTATGGCAAACTAAGATCTGATAGGAATTGACTTAGTCCTATTGCTTTTAGAGTAGTTTTTGGAACAGAGGAGTGTATACCCCTCTTCTCTATAAGCAGTATAATTAGATGTTTTTGTAGTCCTGGCTCCTGTGTCCTTGCTTAGCCCCCCCCTGCATGTATGGGAGAAAACAGGTTCTTTTCTGTGAATGTATCAAAAGCTGATGAGAGATAAAGCGTGTGAGCATGGAAATATTTCTGACCTACAGAGCCTGACTTCTAACATTGCTGTGATTTTATTCCCTGCTGTGAGCACTTTTGGAAGGCATTCACGTGTTGTAAGAAAAGGGAAGCTCTGTTTTAGACTTTGAACATTATAGCTATCAACATGAAGTAGAGTATTGGAAGTAGGCAGCTGGGAGTTGGCACTGTTACATCATTTATATTCACAACAGCCAGCTTGCAGTAAGAAATTACTGACATTATTTATTATTTTTGCATACAAAGAGCTTTAACTACAGAGAATGAGGAGCGTGGTAAAAATTGTATCACCATCTCATCTTGTATATAGACAAAACATCAGTTGGCTTTCGGTCCCACTCCAGCTATTACAGCTTCATTTCAACTGCTCTGCTCACAAGCCTGCTCAACTTAATTAAAAGTGTCTGCATCTTTTGGTTATCATGAGTATCTTGACTTAATCTTCACCCTTGAGTATACTGCAAATCAAATGCAGGAGACATTTTATTGTACAGTCTTAGAAATACAAGTTTGGTCCCATAGACATTATTACTGTAAAATTTTAGTGTTGATCTAAAATGGAAGGGATGGGCTACGCCATGCTTCTCTTAGCTTCCAGAAATTACAGGCACTTCACTGGTACCAGGAGGAGGACTTGTCCTCTGTCTAGAAAGCAGCTGGAAGTTTCTGACCAGTTTATAAGGTAGAACAAAAATGGTTTAAGATCCATGAAAAAAAAACAAACTCTTAGTGCTACCCTTTTTTATCTCTGAAGGTTGTGCATTTTCGTGACTCTTTTTCTTCTGATGAGGCTGTAGACTTATTTTTCCTATTTTACGTATTCTTTTTTCGTTCTTGAAATCTTGACTTTAAATCTGAAAAGCTGACAATAAAAATCTAAAAAAAAAAAAAAAAGAAAAAAGCACTTATGGTAGATATTTCATTCATCTAGCAATATGACTGCAGATGGATAGGATAGCTTGTGAATGGATTCTGTGTGTATGAGTATCTTTATACTTTAGCCCAGATCTTTTTCTTTCTTTTACTTGAGCTTTTAAGCCAAGAGTTCCTGGTCATCTGACTTTTTAGAAATAATCAGTAATTTATTTCCAGTGATAAAGACATGTTTTATGTTCTGTACCTGAATTTGATATTTGTACATCTATTTCTGTTGCCTTCTTTCCTTTCAGTTCCCTTCCCAGAAGTCATGGTTACTGTTTAATTTTTTTGCAATAGTTGCAAAGTTATAGTGCAATTATATTGAATTGCATGTAGTTAAGTATATATATATATATTTGTTACTGAAACTGAGAAGTTACTCTGTGCTGTGTATGAATCATGTCTAATCATGAGAGTCAGTGGAAACACAGCCTTACTTCTTCCAAAGGAATGGAGCAAAAATAGAAGAAGTCCTGGGGAATTAGGTTTAGCTGCCCGCTACAGCCACAGCTTGCCTTAGGAGATCTGTCTAGCTTTTACCAGGCCAACCTCTCATTCCAGAATGTTTTAAAAAAATTCATTTGTTGTAGTGAGGTTGGATTACCAAACAGAAAGTTTTGAAAATCGCTGTTGAAGGAGTTGAGTTCTACAGCTCTGCATACTGCATCGGTGTTCGCTGATTGTTTTTGTCATCCTTCATAAATACACTTTGAGTGCTGGAGCTTAGCAACTTTATTCTCATTTTTACCCTAAACTGTTTTAAGGGTCATTTCAAGACATATAGCTTTTACCAAGTCGTTTATTTCACAGGAGTTTGACATATCTGAAAGTCAAGGTACAGGGCTGTAATAACAAGTGCCTTCTTGCCTGGTGCATTAGTTGGGAGCATCTAAAAGGGAGTATGGTGCATCACTGTTTGAAGTTGTTTGTTTCTGGATATAAATGTATAAAAGGTAAGAATACAGACAATTGTTCCCCACCAGTAGCCAGCTTGCAAATATCTTGGAAGTACACATGAAAAGCAAGGGTCTTAGGAAAACTTATGCCGTTGATCAGCAATTTGGATACTGATTTTGACCCCACTATTTGGGACAGTGTTCCCAGAATGATTAACATTGATCGTAATAATGTGTGAAAGTTTGCCCAAACATAAAGGAAAGTAAATCAAGTGTGAGTGTATAATGCTTCTACCTTTTTTTATTACTAAGAATGATCTGAAGAAGAGAGAGTCATTTATAATCCTCAGTATTTGGTCTGTTTTTCCATCTTGTAAGTGTGTGCACCACTTGAAAAATTACATTTGAGCACTGTTTTTCTTCAGTTCAGTGTAAGTTTACTTTTGAATGGTTTGCTTCTATGGTAGTCAGGGAACATGTTGGGTGATGAATCAAATTAAAAAGCTTCAGCGCTGAAGTGCATTTTCATGCTTGGATTTTCATGTGCAACATACAGCAATTCATTAAATTCTGCCCTTACTTTCATGCAAAAAAAATATACTTGTCATAAGATTTAGTGTAGTTCATAGCTGAGGTTGTAATGCTGTGTATTGGTAGCTCTGAGCTGTACCTCTTCTGTTTTTCAGTGTTCTTCAAAAAAAAATAAAGCACCTATGTGACAAAGGTAGCATTCGGTTGTGTTTGCTAATTCAGATGTACTGCATTCACTAATATTTGTCTTCCATGTTTTTCAAATGCTAAAATTCTAAGTAATAAAAGAAAAGTGTTAACCAGGTTCATTATTTAGCACGTGTTATGTGCAGATATAGTAATGTTACAGAAATCTGTTAAACTGAAGATTGGTTAATGATGTAGTAAGGCTTAAGGTTTAATGAAAGAAAGCCAGTCCTATGAGCCAGGTATAAATTATAGCTTAAGCAAGCTTAAATTACATTTCTAGTCAGTGAAAGAGCACGAGTGAATCAGCTACTTGTGATGGCACCTACACTCTGTCAATACTTATTTCACTCTATTAATTTTAAAAGGTTATGGCACTGACCAACAGTGGAGTTTTAATTCCTTCTACAAGAGACATGGTCAGTTGAGGAGAGAAGAAAGCAAATCCAGTGCAGACCTCTGAATAAAGGGGAGAAAATAATTCCATGTGTCAAACTTGCTGTTGTGTGGAGAAAAACTATGGAGCTCGGTGTTTATGCAATTTGTATTGCTTGAAGGATGATGTCTTTAATTCTCAAAGTTTCAAAAAGAATGCTTTAGCACTCAGTCTTCAGGGGCAGAAGTTACTCAGCTGTGACAGTCCCAAGCCCTTTGTGTACAACAGAGTGAAAACTGATACATCATATTGGGAACATTATTTGGGTGAACATTATTTCTCCAAACAACAGAGAAAGGAGCTTGGGAAAAACTTTATTGTCTTAAGGCTTTTTAGAAATCTTCAGTCTGTAATAATCCATTCTGCTCAAGCTCAATGGAACATAGACTTCCTTCTCCAGCTCTCATTTATTATTTTGGGATTTAAAGATAATCTCAATATACCCATGATACTAAAGTGTCATGGCTTTGAATAGAATATATTTTTGCTGGAAAAAGGACCCATATGGTAGAAATAAAAAGATTTTCAAATGTACAAACAGTAAGATGCTTAATTTCTGTTTCTGGACATGTTAGTTTCTATTTCTTTTTACCATTATCTAAGTAAATCCTAGATATTTTATTTTGAGTGCATTTTTATTTTACTTGTATTTATTTTGTTAAGTCATATTATTCATTCTGTACAGTCTTGGCAATAAGTGACTAAATGTATTTTATTCAGTCTGAACTTTTTTATTAGAATTTGCTTTCTGTAGTGACTAAAAAGGAGAGCAGCCTAAAAGAAAAAAAAACATAAAATGTTGCCAGCATATTTCTCTGACTATTCTCTTCAGGATCAAAAGAGACTTCAGTGTTGAGAGTTATCTGAATATGGAACTTCAGAGTTCATTCTGGTAGTGGATTACCAATAAAATTCTTTCTCAAATTGTATGCCATAAAAATTCTAGGATCCTCACACTTCAGTCTTGTAAAGTTGACTACCTTAAATTACATATCTGCAAAGTTCAGCAGCTTACCAGAATCTTTATTTCATTATTCTCCCTGAAACTTGTATATTTTGAATGTGATTATATTGATCCCATTAACCTTGCAGTGTTACTGGTCAGGTTTTCCTATTTGCCCTAGGAATTCATTTTCAGGTTTTAATGGAAATTGCTTAATGAATTTGTGCTAGATTAAATGCTTTTTTTCTCTCTTGTCTTCATTAATGTTGTTACTTTAATTGCAGAAAAAAAGTTTTATATGGCTTATTCCTCACTTGATTGTTTTGTCTAAGGCTGTCCTTGCAGAATGAAATGACACAATAGTCCCAGCAACAAAAATGAATACAAATGCACCTTTTGGAATGAGTGAGACTGATCTGGACTGAGTGTAGTCTAATCAGTGTTGCTTCAAAGGAAGCTTATTTAGGACAGCGACTGTAGTTTTGGGGTCCATGTATTCTCATGAGTTCTTAAAGTATTCAGATGTAGGCCATTTAATGGTCCATAACAACAGTTGCCTGAAGTGAAGAGCTGTACTTAAACTGTTCTGTTATTGCTGGAGTAAACTACAAAGCAGAAACTCTGCAAGTATTACTTGCCAGACCTATGGCAAGCAAATGATGTTACTTGATCAATATTTAATAGTGAGAAACTTTCAGTGTTTATATTATTATTTTATAAGGGTAATAAGCATTTCAAGTAACTTCCTGTCCTGTAACTGTTTCAGATCAGAAAATAATTTTAGAGTACTGTTTCTAAAGTGAGCTATGTGTTTTATTGCTGGTGTTTTTTATTTAAAGAAAACAACAAAACAAAACACAGCTGTAAACATGCTGCTACAACTGATGGTTCCCGTATATATTCATTTTTCTCCAAATTGTCAGGATATCACATAAGGTGATGCCAGCCAGAGAGACCTAGACAGGTTATTATTCTTTCCAATAAGAGTGGTGAGTCACTAGAACAGGTTACCCAGAGATGTGGTGGAAGCCCCATTGCTGGAGGCACTCAAGGTCAGACTGGATGGGGCTTTGAGCATCTGACTGAGTTATAGGTGACCCTGTGCATTGCAGGGGCGTTGGAGTAGATGACCCTTCCAACTCAAATTATTCTATGATTCTGTTAAGGATGAACCACTTTAGCAAATCTGCAGTGTTCAAAAAAACACATTTTTTATGCTGCTAGTGTGCAAACAACACAGTGAATCCAAATTTAAGAAAAGGTAATACTGTACTAGCACTCATAAATCAAAGTCTTAATCAAAATCAAGTTGGTAGGAAACTATTATTTATTTCCAATTCTTTAAAGTCGTTTCACATGAAGAGGAGAAAGACTGTCCAGGAAGAGAAAATTCTTGACAATTTCTAACAAGTGTAGTCATTTAGTCAATATTCTTATTTGAATAACTTCTGATGAGATTTTAAAATTGTTTTCGGCACGGTTTTATAATTGCAATTAACTGAGATAGTTCTGGTTGCATCTAAAAATCACACTGTATATGTACAAATTGAAATAGAATTCTATTTCACTTATTCTAGGAAAAAAAGAATGAGTTGAAAAGTATATGCATAAAATACAATGGATATGAAGAATATGATTTGTCTAATAATGCTTTGGGAAAAGTGCAAGAGTAAGGCTTCATTTTTTGTTCCATGAAGTAGTTCCTTAATAGTCCCCTGAGTATTTGGATAGCTTTAAGTGAAAGAGAATAATAATTCAGTTTTGACTTCAGTTGAGTTATTTGACAAATTCCACTCAACATTTTTAGTAAATGCTACTGTCTGAGAGTTAAATTGTACACAGAGTGAAAAAATGCAGTCTTCTGAATATTCTGAGTAGGACCTCGGGGATCCAAAGGTATTCTGCTGTTACAGAAATACAATCATACTTCTTTTCAAAGCGTATTCACTTGGGTATATTAAAAATCCATACAAATACGTGAAATAAATAGG